CAATGCTTAAAAGGTACAAAAACATTTTCATATCAAACACTGCATTTACTTTTTATCTTTTTAGAAAATAACTTCTTGAAGAGGATATGGAAAACCCTGTGGCGGTTAATTTTACACGTTCATTGCCTGCTCAAAATTCTCTCTGGGTGTGTCTGTGAGGGTGTATCTGGAAAAGATTAGCATTTGAGCATCAGCATTGGCAGACTGAATAAAAAGATTGGCAGACTGAATAAAAAGATTGCCAGCCCTCACCAATGCAAGTGGGCTGAGGGCCTGAAGAGAAAAAAAAAAAAAGGCAGAGGACATTTGCTCTCTACTCAAGCTGGAACATTTATCTCCTCCTGTCCTCAGACAGCAACACTCTGGTTCTCAGACTTTCAGCCTCAGACTGGGGCTTACACCACTGACTTCTCTGGTTCTCGGGGCTTTGGACCTGGACTAGAGCTGAATGCACTACGGGCTTTCTTGGGCTTCCAGCTTGCAAGTGGTAGATACCAGGACTCCTCAGTCTTCATAATTGCGTGAGCCAACCCCTCATAATAAATCTCTTTCTATAAACCTCTCTCTCTTTCTCTCTCTCTCTCTTTCTCTTTCTCTCCCCCCTATTGGTTCTGTTTCTCTGGAGAACCCTGGCTAATACAATCCCCCTATGACAAATAAAATCTACTTAAAATCAGAGCGACCAAGTGGCTTGTCCCTGGCCAGCACATGGCCTGTAAGTGAAGAAGCAGGAGTCAGACTTTCTGTCTCAATTCCAGTGCTCCTGCACTTACATGTGGGGTGTGAGGAATGGCTCGGGCACAGCATCATCTGTGCACACAAAGCTCAGCACAGTTCTCATGGACAGACTTACTGACCCTAATATAGTGCTAGTACCTCTCATGACAGGCAAGACTAGGCCGTGGGGACAAACAACCCCCAAATCTCAGTGGCTTAAAACAACCGAGGTTTATCATGTCCATCACATGCTGGCCAGACCTCCAAATCCAGGTCTCCTCACTCCCGGACTGATGGGGCAGCCATCACCCTAAAAGTCACCACCTTGAATGCTACCGTGTTAGTCACCACTCACAACTCATTGGACAGAGTCACAAGGCACCACCCAACAAGGGAACAGAGTATTAATTTCAAAGGGAAGAAGCATGCAGATGAATGTGGCTAAGAGACCAGTGTGCCTCAAAATGACTGATGTGACCTCTGGACAAAAGATGTCAAAGGTAGCCCTTAACCAAAAAATGTCACAGAAGCCTTGAAGTCCTCTAGCCCTAGCTTTGGCATCTTTTTCATTCTTGTGAGATGGGCTCACTTCTCATGCCCAGGCCACGAGGAAGTGAATTACCGTATTTACAATTCCTGCTGCCTCTAGCAAGGACTGGAATTCACAGCTTGATTCTGTAGCATGGATTTTTTTTTTCTGACAATAGTGAATAGTGCCAGCAGCATTTTATTTGGGGGCTCACAGTACAGAGAAGGGGTGCAACATGAACTCAGAATTTTAATAGCCACAGGGACCCTTTAGTCCCTGCACCTCCAAGAGTGTGATTGTTCTTTGACAAGTGGAGAAACTGAGTGCAGTGCAAACCATCATAGACCAAGTGAACACAAGAGTGGACATTATATCTAAGAACATCCTCATTCCTCACCCTGTTCTTCTCTGCATTATTTAAGAGGTGGTGGGAATGATTATGATGTGGGAGGGAAATAGTAAAAAGGATTTATCCTTATAAAAAAAAGAAGTAAAAGGGAACATAGTAAACTTACAAGGACATTTG